TCATGGCTGGAGGATGATGTAAGAACTGGTATTTTATTAGGATTGGCTTGGAATTCTGACTCCTTTTGTCGTCGAGGTTTTGAACTTGTTTGTTTTTGATGTGGATAGATAACAAATTTGATCCACAGCGAGATGTGAAGATTTTGTTGGAGGAGAAGAAGCCAGGTAGTGGAGTCTTAGACTTTTGAGCTTGGTTTCCAGAGAGAAATCCAGGGGAATATAATCCTTGATATGTTGGCATTCATAATGGTATGTATCCAAGCGGATCGAAGTATGTATCAGATCGTCGCTGATTTTGAAACATACTTTCGAGGCTTCTTTGAAGATCTTTCAGTTAATTTTTTAAACTGGCAGTCTCTGCTTCTTTGTTGAGGAATTGGATAGTGTTTACCATCATGTTTTGGGCCATAGCCACCATTTTGTGGTGAAGATTGTTGAGTCTTTCATGTATCTCGGTTATTGAGCTTTGAAGGCGGTGTAACTTTTTTTGTAGTTTTCTGCCAATTTATTAACTTTATTATTGATTGTGGATAAAAGTTGATTTTGAGCGAGAGCATTCTCCGTTTGCCAGTTGAGAACTTTCTCTGCTTGACTCAGCTGGTCAGGACCGGAAGAGTTGATAGCTTGAGAGAAAACTTTTGGGCTATGAGCGATATTGTTCTTGATGAAATCTTCTCGTGGAGAAAAATCAGATGGATCTTTCGTCATGAATTGTTTTGACTCTTCCCTTTTCTCAGAATATTGGACGATAAATATGTATTTATCATCTCCGAGCGGACCAACGGTGAAGTCTCCTTCGAGATATCTTTTGTAAAGTGGGCCTTTTTTCATTATTCGCTTTGTTCGTCTTTTTTCGTTTTTAAAAATAATTATTGAAATACATATGGTAAAAGTGTATAGATATTCAAATTGACATATTTAATACAATTACCAAAATTATATTAAATTAAATTAATATTAAACAGAAATATGATTACAAAACACATAAAAGTTAAATTTTCCAAAATAAATTAAAACAAAAAATATAATCTCAGTGTAGTTGTTGTTCCTTTGAAGTTTGAACACTCTAATTTGACGGTGTGCTACACACAACAAAATTCATCTCATTGTATCATTCTCTATAATGGGCCTTTTTTTTTACGGGAAAGGAACAAGATTAAGCATGGTGAGAAGCTTCTTCCTCTGTCATTTTTGATTCAATTGGTTGATAAAGGAATGCGCAACAAGTTCACTATTATGAGAAGGAGTGGAGTCAAGGGAATGGAGGGTCTTTTACGACATCTACTCTATTAAAATAGAGTCATTATTTTTATCTACTGATACAAGTTGTCATTTAAATTTGAACTCTTTCTAGAGTGTTACAAATAATACAAGTCATATAGGTTATTGAACCGCATTACTTAAATTAAACCGATGATTATTTATGGGATATAGTCTTGGGCTTATTTAGAACAAATTATATGGTTTGGTTTTTGGGTTTAGAATTAAGGAAAAACTCCAAAAAATATTGAATAAACTTTCCAGTTTAATGGATCAAAAAATCAGTTATTATTTTTAAGCCCAAAAAGTATTTACTATTTTTAACAAAAACAAAATTGTCTATTATTAATTATGTATATAAATCATGTACTTTAAACATGTTAATGTATTTTTTTATTTTAAATAACAATCACTTTGTTTTGATAAATTTTAATAGTAAATTTTAAATAATTTGTTGTTTTATTTCTCTTAAATAATTTACTGATTTAAAAAAATGTAAAGCAAAACCAAAACCAAAAACCAAATCTAAAAACAAAAATCCAAAACCAAAAACTGAAAACCAGATTATATTTTTTTGCTTTTATTTATTTACAAAATAAAATATTGCAAATTTCTTTTTAAAAAATTGTCATCTTTTCAGATTTAAATTAGATGTTCGATTATTTGGGATTTGTTTGTTAGTAATATCAGTTCAAACTAACTCAGCGGGTCAAAAAATTAAAAACTCAAACCAAAAGCTGAAAATCAAAAATAGAAATTTAAAAACTAAAAACCAAAATCTAAAAATAAAAACTGAAACTAAAAACTAATGAATAACAATCATAACCACAAATTTTGGTGAACAGATTTTATCCTAAAACATTTTAAATTAAGACAAAATCCAGTTACATAAATTTTTAATCATAAAAAGTTTCCGCGCTTTTCAAGCGCGGGTCAAAATCTAGTTGGTTTTTAATGAAAACTTAAAGATGGATTGATTGTGATAAAAATGAGTAGATGATTTGGTTTTTATTTTTGTAATAGGAAGCATTTGATGTATAAAGGCTTTTTTTGATGAATAAATTTAACATTCATTCAAAAAAAGATATAAATAAATAAATAATGGGCTTTATCAATCGCAGGCCCATTATTCGTCGATCCCGTTCGTATCTCCCAAACCTGAACCCTGGGTTTTTTCCCCAAACGCCTCCGCCTTCGGCAAAAATCTCTGGTCTCTCCGTCACGTCAACAACTCTCTCTCTCTCTCTCTCCCATGGCCTCTGGCTCACTAACATCTTCACCTCTCCCTCATCTCTGATTCACTCTTCTCTATTTCCCTAAAATCTCAGCACAAGTAACTCCCTCACATTTCCTCTCTCCATCACCAATGAATCTGAGAAGACTCTCTCGCGCAAGCCACGTACTCACCCTCCCCTCGAAATCTACACCACACGCCCCAAAAAAACTCCACACAACCCGATCGAAAGAACAAGCTTCCCCCGATCACCACTTACGCGAACGATTATCCGCGGCCTTATCAAGAAGATTTCTAGATTACAAACACTGCAAACAACTCATAACCGCCTTATCGCCTCACGAGTTCGATAGATTGTTTCCTGAGTTCAAATCTAAAGTCAATCCCAAGACGGTTTTGGATTTCTTCAGATTAGCCTCTGATTCGTTTAGCTTCCCCTTTAGCCTCCGTTCGTATTGCTTATTGATAGGTTTGTTACTCGAATCGAATCTGTTATCTCCCGCTAGGTTAGTTCTAATCCGTTTGATCAACGGAAACGTTTCCGTTAATGATTACGATTCGAATCGATTCGCGGTTGCTGATGCGATGGCGAGTTTGAGTTCGTGTTTTGATCAAGAAACCAGAAGGAGACTCTCCGATTTGTTGATTGAGGTTTACTGTACAGAGATTAAGCGTGGTGGTTGTTATCTAGCTCTTGAGGTGTTTCTTGTTCTTGTGAAGAATGGATTGTTTCCGTCTAAGACGACTTGTAACGTTTTGTTGACGTCTCTAGTGAGAGCCAACGAGTTTGAGAAGTGTTGTGAAGCTTTTGAGGTTGTTTGCAAAGGTGTTTCTCCTGATGTTTACTTGTTCACTACCGCCATTAACGCGTTTTGCAAGGGAGGGAAAGTGGAGAAGGGAATGGAGTTGTTTTCGAAGATGGAGGAAGCTGGCGTTGCGCCGAATGTTGTTACTTACAATGCCGTTATAGATGGTTTGGGGATGAGTGGGAGGTATGATGAGGCGTTTATGTTTAAGGAGAAGATGGTGGAGAATGGTGTGGAGCCGACTCTTGTCACTTATAGTATTCTTGTCAAGGGTTTGATCAAGGCGAAGATGGTTAGTGATGCTTGTTGTGTATTGAAGGAAATGACGGAGAAAGGGTTTCCTCCTAATGTTATTGTGTATAATAATTTGATTGATGGTTTGATCGAGGCTGGGAGTTTGAGCAAAGCTATTGAGGTAAAGGATGATATGGTTGCAAAGGGGTTGTCTCTCACATCGGCGACGTATAATACTCTCATAAAGGGATACTGCAAGAGCGGTCAAGCTGATGTTGCAGAGGGTCTACTGAAGGAAATGTTGTCGATGGGTTCAAATGTAAATCAGGGCTCCTTTACATCTGTGATTTGTTTGTTGTGCAGTCGTGGTATGTTTGACTCAGCACTTTGTTTTGTTGGTGAAATGCTACTGCGTAACATGAGTCCTGGTGGTGGGTTACTTACTACATTGATTTCTGGTCTTTGTAAGCATGGGAAACACTCAGAGGCAGTAGATCTTTGGTTTAAATTCTTACGTAAAGGTTTTGTAATAGACACTAAGACTTCGAATGCTTTGCTTCATGGACTCTGTGAAGCAGGGAAGTTGGAGGAAGCTTATAGGATTCAACAAGAGATATTAGTGCGTGGTTTAGTTATGGATACCATTTCATATAACACGTTGATTTCTGGATATTGCAGAGAGAGGAAACTGGAGGAAGCTTTCAAGTTAATGAATGAAATGGTTGAGAGAGGACTTAAGCCTGACAACTATACTTACAGCATATTGATCCGTGGGCTGTTTGATATGAACAAAGTCGATGAGGCCATACAGTTTTGGGGTGCTTGTAAACAGAATGGTATGGTTCCAGATGTTTATACATATTCAGTCATGATAGATGGATGTTGTAAAGCTGAACGAGCAGAAGAGGGTCAGAAATTGTTTGATGAGATGATGAGCAGGAATGTGCAGCCAAATACTGTTGTTTACAATCATCTAATCCGAGCATATTGTAGAAGTGGGAGGCTATCAATGGCCTTGGATCTCCGTGAAGATATGAGAAACAGAGGAATTTCACCTAATTCTGCTACATATACTTCACTAGTAAAGGGGATGTCAGTTATTAGCCGTGTTGAGGAGGCAAGACTCCTCCTCGAGGAGATGAAGGAGGAGGGTTTGGAACCGAATGTCTTTCATTATACAGCACTTATTGATGGGTACGGTAAACTGGGTCAGATGGTCAAAGTTGAGTGTCTTTTGCGTGAGATGAATTCAAAGAACATAGTCCCAAACAAGATTACCTATACCGTGATGATTGGTGGGTATGCCAGAGATGGGAATGTAACAGAAGCTTCCAGGCTTCTAAATGAGATGAGGGAAAAAGGAATTGTTCCGGATTCTATCACATACAAAGAATTTATATATTGGTATCTTAAGCAGGGAGGTGTTTTGCAAGATTTTGAAGGCTCTGATAAAGAAAATTATGCAGTAATCATTGAAGGATGGAGCAAAAAGATACAGTAGCTGATGAAAAGGTTCATATCCTGGTTCTCAATGATTCTGTTCGTTGCTCCGCTTGCTTCAGTTCTTTGTGGAAATAGTTCTGTTCTGACAGTGTATCCTGATGGCTTAGACTTGTAGTTGGAAAATTGAGACCAGTGGTGTTCTCAGTTTAGACGGTCCTGTTCTCGTCCAGGATTTGCTTCTTCTTTATAAAGGAAACACAGTAGCATGGCATAATTTGGTAAATGCATATGGTCCGTTGCATCTTACTAGTTGTTTGCTGTACGTAACTATCCAGAGCCACTTTCATTTAACAGCGTCGACCTGCTTCAGCTTCAGAAAAAAAAGGGTGTGTTCCTTTTGGCATAATATGGGTGATTTACAAGTCCTAGTTACTGGTGCTCCTCAGGTTTAAAAACTGAGTGCCACAGAATCAGAAGCCATCTGATTGATACATTCTGGAGCAGTGCAGGCACTTCGGATAGCGCTCCTGAAAAGATTCTACAGGTACGATCGCAGCTTTTGGCCTTATGTATAATGCAGCTTACATATCTATGCTTCGAGTTTAATGAGACTATTGAATTGTGTAGAGAACCACTAAACTTCTCCTATCAGTTTTGTTTATTTGAAAAGAATCTCCTGAACACCTTATGTTACACCCTTTTCTTCAGATATCACGGACAGTCAATCAAAAGCTTATACATGGACCTTCCGCGGCCGTTACTGGACCAAAATGGCTTCTCTTTCCCAGGTTGCATAAACGTAAAATACTCAGTCAGACTCCAGTTGATATTTCGTTCTTCTTTAACTATTTTTTTTACTGAAAGTAGTTGATTTATATTTCTCTCTTTCCCTTGTGTTTCAGAGAGCTTAAGCCAGTCCCCATCGGAGTAGTGTAGAACAAAATTTAGCCTAGACACGTTGCCGAATTCTAGCCTAGAGAGATTCTTCTTGCTGATATGAAAGGTAACTTTTGATAACGGTAGTACCTTATTCAATAACATTCACCCTATGGTAAAGACGGAGTGGGGTTTTGTTTATTTTTTTATTCTTGTATACAATTTTTTTGTTCATTATTTTTCACTTACGGAAGTGAAGATAGTGGTTCAGATGTACATAAAAGAGTATCAAACTCTAAACAGAGTTTGATTTGATAAAATGTGGAATAATAAGATCTCAGTAATACAATTTTTCATCAACTCCTACGTTTAGATGGATAATCTATACTTAACTACTCACTCAGTGAAGAAGATGGCAAAGAAAAAATACAGTAGTCACACTCAGAGATTGCTTTACCATGGTCCAAGAAATTAGAATACTATTATTCTTCTACTTCTGCACCTTAAGGCCGAGTATCAGTACTATCAGATGGATGTGCGGTAACTGTATCTGATAATGTCATTTGTACACTCTTATGTCTGAATATTATGCGAGTTGTGGGTAACATGAGAGAGTCGATTACCCTAAAAGGAGGAAAACGGCCATTTCATACCCAACCTATGGCGATATGTTCCATTCATACCCAACTTATATGGTCATGCCAAAACATACCTTAATTTATATTATCGTGTCAAAACATACCTGACTTACATTTTTTTTGGCAAAATCATACACTAATAGCCTCATTAGCTGTCACATCATTTATTTTATGTTCGCGTGGATACTATGTTAGCTAATTTTACCGACAAAGATGCTATGTGTACAATTTTTTTTAATAATAAAACTAAATAATCATTTAACAGAAATAACTTTTTAGAAAATTTAAAATTTTATTATTTAGTTAGATTAACAAAAATTAATTAATTAATTAAATTTTAATATTATATAAGAGACATATTCGTAAATGCTTCGATCCTATTACAAATCGTCTTTAATAAAGTTATATATGTGTTGTAATTATTAAATTTAATGCTAATATTGCAGACGTATTACTCTTGATTAATCATGGTTATGTTAGTCTATGTAAATAACATTTGCATGATTAATAAAGTGTAACAAAACTGCAACACTAATATTGAATTTGAATCATTACAACACAGATAATTCTCATAAGAACAGTTTGTGATAGGATCGAAACATTTACCGGTATATCTTTTATATAAGACTAAATTTTAAGTAACTAATTAACTTTTGTTAATATTACTAAATAATAAAAAAATTACATTTTCTAAGAAAAATATTTTTTCTTAAATGACTATTTATTTCAAAACAAAAAAAATTGTACACATAACATCTTTGTCATCAAAATTAGTTGACATAGCATCCACGTGAATAAATATAGATGATGTGGCAGCTGATGTGGCGACTAATGTATGATTTCGTCTAAAAATTATAAATCAAGTATGTTTTGACAAGATCATGTAAGTTCAGATATGTTTTGGCACGACCATATAAATCGGGTATGAATTGAACATATCGCGATAGGTTGGGTATGAAATGGCCGTTTTCCCGCATCAGTGCATATATATGTATTTCAGTAGACTACATATGTGCAGTATGTATGCATAGTATGGCATATAGAATCATTGATACATCAAACACATCCCGTACCAGTACGGCCTTGCAAAAATTTAGCTTTTTTTCTGAAGCCCCATTGGTGTTTTATTTTACAAAAATTAAAACCGGCCTCATCACCCCATGTTCAGTCCACCAGCTAAATCATAAAAGTTAAAGAGTTAGAAAGAGGAAAAAGAAAAACATATTTGAGGTGTGACTAGATTCGGTGTAACTGTTAAAACAAGATAATGCCCTATATATTATAATCTAACAATGCTTGATCTCCTAAGCCCTATAATCTTTCAACACGGCTGTCTAATATTCCTCCGTAAACATGATTAATACCTATAGGTGCCACGATGATTATAAAAAAAAATGCTTATAACTTGTCTTCAAGTCAAACCCTCTCTATGATCAGAAATGTACTCTATGGAATAACTCTATTGCTAATCAATAAAGAACAATAATTGTTATGAAACTCTAACTAACTTCTCTGATCAATTTTACAATTAATAAAGAGAAATGTTTGCCTAACCACTGAAATTAAAATTCAGCCACCATCCAGAGGCAACAACTTTTAGTTGTCTAGAATCTTACTTTGGTAACACCATAATCTTTCAATATGAATTAATCCAATATGTAGTTGAATAAATGGCCCAGTGGGGAGAAAATAATCAAACTCGCGTAATCGTTGAATCACAACGTCTATATTTTGGGTTAATTATGTAATAATCATGTGGTTGGCTTAACTGGCTTTACATAATCATTTTGGCTGACGATGTTTTTTGGAACAACCCACATGGAATGTTCCTGTATATTCACAGATCAGTCCTAGTTACAAGTTGTGGACGTCTTTGAAATAACTATCGTTTTGTCCTCACATAATTGGTTTTTTTCTCAGTTAACCCTTAAGTTTCGATTTAAATCGCAAGTTCCGCAACTCTATAAAAGTATTATAAGCTACTCTATTTGTATCTTCCATGCTCAATTATTTACAGCAATCAACAAATTTCTTACTCATCTTAATCAAGCTACGGTATAATTAGCACCAAATTAGTAATTTCAGATCGATGCTTACATCAAAATTACAGACGGTCAAAATTTCTCTTTGTATGCATAAAACGTTCTTCTAGATAGTATTTAACAGACGTTTTCGCATAGAAAAAAGGTAATAGACCGTATTATTTTCCCACTGGATAAAATCTGCAAATAGATAATCATATACAGTAGAACCTCTATAAATTGATACTCGGTAAATTAATATACACTAAATATCTCTATAAATTAATATAATTTTATAGTCTCAAATTGAGTTTTTGGTTCAATTAGTATATCTATAAATTAATATCTCTCTAATTAATAAAAAATAAAATTTTGGTGTACTCCAAACATTATTAATTTATAAAGGTTTCACTGTATATATATATATATATATAATATATATATATTCAAGATAGGTAGATAAATAACGACCAACGGTTGTTAAGCATGGACCAATCTACTATAAAAATGTGTATATAATAAATCCAATCAATTGACAAAACATGTGTAAATGTTAAATATTGATTATTGATCCATAGTTGCCAACTAATGTTATCTTAAATACGAACATGTTCTTGTTCGTATTAATGTTAACTAGAATACGACCTACGATTTGAAAAAGTGGAATTATATTTTGTTGGTAAATTTATTAATGTTTATTCATAAACATGGGTATTCGATTTTCATTTCGTTTCCAGATTATATTTTTTTTTGTTTTCAGTTTGGCTGTAATTTTTGGTTTTTAGTCAAGATATGTAGGAAATGTTTAATTAGTTCTGAATTTGGGTTTGGTTTGTGTTTAGTTATATGATTTTTGGTTTGGTCAAGTCACAACATGTTGAATAAGTCAAAAGAGTACCACAGTAAATTTCAAAAAATATTCTAAATTTTAACAATGTTTCGTATGGTGAAAGATAAACAAAGTATGAAATCATTTGATTTTTTTTTCTGTGGCAGGTAGTGATCTGAAGAGAAGCAAAGACGTTCATGTATTTTTCTTCTAGTATTAAATAAGCTATCAGTTTAGTTTATATAATTTCAGATAGTTTTAGTAGTTTAGAATTTGATTTAGTTTAAGTTACCCGGTTCTATTATTTAGGTAGCGAGTAAAAATAGTAGTGTAACAAATTTGTAAGGGTCCAAAACATATGTAACGTCCGGGTCCGAATGATAACTATAGTTTTAATATTTAAATGGTGTGGAATTGAAGTGCAGTATGTCCAACTACAATTTATACGGTTTGCAAAATAAGTACTGATTTAATAGAAAATAGTATGATTTTGATAAAAAAGAATAGTGCGATTTTTATAGAAAAAATAATATAAAATAAATATATTAATAGGATTTGAAACTAATTCTTTTGATTAGTAATAATGTCATAATATCTATACACATTATATAATTCTAAATATTAATATTAATTTGACTAAGAATTTTAAGTATATAATTTTTTTGTTGATATAAATTTAGCTACTAAATTTATTTTGAAATAAAAACTAAAATTAGAAATGTTGTATAAAATAATAGTTAAACAGATAAACGTTTACAAAATGTATTGAACAAGTGTGTTATTTGTAATAGTTAAACAAAAAACTTTTGATAAGTGAACATTGATATTAAGCTTGGGTAGAAAAAACCGTAAGATTCAAACGGAATTGAACCAAAAATCCGAAATCCGAGACCGGATCGAAATCCTCAAATACATGAATGGTTCGTTCTTATATTTATAAATCTGAAATAACTGAACCGTATCAAAACCGAATCGGTACATTTGGTTTGGTTATTTTTGACTTTGATTCATTCATGTAGAAAAATAATTTATGTTCTTTCGTTAACACTAATCTTGAAAAATGTTTACGTAGGATCATTGACTTAATCTCGACATCCACAGAACTATAAAATTGACGGAAATATTTTTCAGTCGTGTTACAAGAAGTTAAAACGTGATAGTTAATTTGTAATGTTAGCTTTTAAGCTGCGATAAAAAATAAAAAAAGCTTAGCTCGTTCTCTGTTGCTAACTCCAGTTATCGGGAGGAAGTGAAACATGCGCGCCGGTTGTGAACATGGTGGGAAACGGTGAAAGTAGACACCGGCGCAAATTTTATTATGTATCCAACAATGTGCATTTTAGAATTTATATTTCAATTGAGGAGGAGCTCAACAGCTGTGTTTCACCAATCCATCTACCGGCACGTATCATCCAAACGCTCATTCTCCAATCATATGCTTGGGAACTTCCGCCCGAGAAATTATAAAACGGTGATTAATATGATAGTTTCAGTTAATTAATAAAACAACAATGATTGATTTTTATTGGTGCGATAGGTAGTGTTGTAATTTATTTAGGTCAGCAAGTAGTTTTACAAAAGTGTGTTAGAGATTATTAATAAATAAGTCTAGATATGTTTGAATCTTTTCACACTTTAACAAGTTTTTGTTTAGAAATGATATACTTAACTTCAAGAGATAAGCTAAGCTTTTTTTTTTTTTTTTTTTTTTGAAAAAAATAAGATAAG